GTGGAACGAGGGTGCGGGTGGCGGGCTTGACACAGGTTGTTGCTTTGCCCTCTTGCTTGCTACGTAGTTCCAAGATGTTGGGGCGGTTTGCCTACCACTCAAAAGGGGGTGGAAGGCGCCTTAGGAGCACTCACTTGCTCACTTACTCACTCTCACTCATTTACTCGCTCACTCACCCACTCACTCACTCAAAAAAGGGAAAGTGCTGCAATGTAGCTTTTCGTTGATGCTCTTTGGCAGGACCCGTAACCCGCAACTGCATTCCCCACTCCACTCAACCCAAAAGCCGTTTTGAAGCCAGAATAGCCACCAAGTTTGCCGAACATAGCTAGTGTTTCCGGGTTTTGCCGGCTTGCTCTCAGATCAAGACTTGGTACGCGATTGTGTCTTTTGCTTGTTGCCAATGGCATGCTTTGGATGCAGACTTGTTTTGGTTGAAAGGCCAATGTTAGTTAAACTGCAAACGTGTTGAGTCGTCCAAAAGCTTGAAGCTGCGGACGTAAGTACCCATTTTGAGACATAACTCTTTCTCGCTGGGCGCGTGTTGTGCAATTTGTGAATGCGCGTGTTCATTCATGAGGGGCCGGCGTCCCAGGTTCTCAGTTCCAACAGCTTGATGTTCGGCTCAGCGATTGCTTTGCTGCGCTGGGACAGCGGCAAAGAGAGGGCAACCAGGTGCCGATAGTCGCCAACCAACCTGCAAGACGATGTATGTGGTTCTTCAGGACCCTTAGGCCACACCTGGATAAGATTTGTGCTCAACTGCACGGGACTTTGCGTGTGCGCTGAGGGTAAACATCCTCTTCATGCGGTGAGCTTAGCAACCGCGGGTGTGCACGAACATGGGGCTGTGACCATTAAGTTGAACTGGTAGGTACTCTCTCCGGGCAATGCGAGTTTCTATCATGAGACCCTGAACGGTCTTTAGCTTGCATCACATGTGAATATGGCATGTCTAACCAGGGCGCCTGACAAATGATGGGCCACTGACAAATGATGGGCCACGCCCCATCCCCGCTCAAGCCGTTCTCAAAAAAGCCCCTACGCATTTATAGACCATGAAGCTTTGGACAGCTCCGGCCAACCTCAAGTGAGCCCCGTTTTTGCACAGAGCACATTGGGGCCAGGCCCACTTCTGTATCCCAGAACGGGTTCTTTGGTTCATTTTGCTTGGATTTTAGGACTTTTTCTTTTTGCCAACTGATGTGTTTTCCATTGAACCACCAAAAGTGAAACTTTTAGCAGGGGAGCAATAAAGCAACCGAGGGTTGTTCCCTAGCAACACCTATGGGATAGTTGCTCATTCTGGGTGGGACTCTTGGGCTTCATGGCCATGCCCGGCGCGCGGTTTCACCCGGCAGGTGAACTTGGCCCCTGATTCCTTCCATTTGTTTAAGAATATGTTTTAATTTCCCCCTGTTGGTTTTGAAGGGAATCTATCACTACGGGAAATAGCATCTCTTGTCCAGGGGTTTTAACCAAATGGAAGATTCGAGGGCATTTGTTATGGCTAATTAACCCTAGTTCTAAGCCAATTGAGCGACTTATGGTAACCATGGCAGGTGGTTGTTCTATCCACGTCATTAGGTACTCCAGCCCGCGCGTCAGCTACTAACCCCTCTTCCGCGCGTCAGGTACCCCCTATCGACGTTACTCTCCACTTGGTAAAGTCGTGGACCAGCTAAGCACATGCCTGCCCCGCCCAGGAACATGTTGAGGGGCCTTATATGGGGTGTGCCTGCCAAGGACTGGGCAGGGGCAAGTGGATTGGCCTGTGGGGACACAGTTGTGCAATACCACATGCTCAAGCTTTGAAAATGGTACGGGTGTGGGTCTGTGTGCGTGCGTGCTGAGTGCTTGCGTGTTTGTTTGTTTTTTTGTTTGTTTGTTTGTTTGTGTCTCTGTCTGTCTGTTTGTCGGTTTGTTTGCTTGCTTGCTTGCTTGTTCGTGTGTATATGTGTGTTTCTTGGATTGCGCCCCTTCCTTTGTTTGTTTGTTTGTTTGTTTGTGTGCTTGCTTGGTTGCTTGCTTGGTTGCTTGCTGGCTGGCTGGCTTGCTTGTTTGCTCGCTCGCTTGCTTGTTTGCTTGCTTGCTTGCTTGCTTGCTTGCTGCTCGTTTGTCATGATGTTTGCTTGTTTGGTTTGTTTGGTTGCTTGTTGCTTGTACGTGTTTTTGTTTAATTGCTGTGCTTGTTTATTTGTTTGATGTGCTGGTGTGTTTTTGTTTGTTTGTTTGTTTGTTTGTTTGTTTGTTTGTTTGTTTGTTTGTTTGTTTGTTTGTTGGTGTGTGTGTTTCTTGTTTGCTTGACTGCCTGCTTGCAAGCTTGATTGCTTCCTTTGTTTGTTTGTTTGTTTGTTTGTTTGTTTGAATCTGCGTGGTTATTTGTGTGTTTCTGTGTTTTCTGGTTGCTTGCTTTGCTTTGCTTTGCTTTGCTTTGCTTTGCTTTGCTTTGCTTTGCTTTGCTTTGCTTTGCTTTGCTTGCTTGCGTCCGTCTTTGCTTGCTTGTTTGCTTGTGTGCCTACTTGTGCGCTTGCTTTGTTGGCTTTGCTTGCTTGTTTGTTTATTTGTTTCTTGTTGTTTGGTTGCCTGCTCGTGTGCTTGATTGTTTTTTGATTGCTTGCTTGTTTGTTTGTTTGTTTGTCTGTTCCTTTTTGCTTGCTTGCTTGTTGTCCGCGTGTCTCTGCGTTTGTGTATGTGTATGTGTATGTGTTTGCGCGTTGTTGCTGTTTTCCTGTGTGCTTGTTTGTGTTTCGAATGTGCGAGTGTGTGTGTGTGTACCTTTGTCTTTACGTGGTTCCGCGTTTGTCAGTGTTTGTGTGCGTGTTTGTGTGCTTGCCTGTGAGTGTTTTGTGTGTTTGTGCGTGCGTGTTTGTGTGCTTGTGTGGTTGTATGTTTGCACGTGCGTTTGAGCTTGTGTGTGTGTGTGTTTGTGCTTGTGTGTGTGTTTGTGTGTTCTGTTTCTGTTTCTCGTGTTGGCGTTATGTCAATGTTAGGTCTTGTGTGTGTGTGCCGGTGCGCGTGGTTTGTTTGCATCAGTGCTGTGGGATATCATCAGCGGAATGGATAGCTGCCAAGGGCACGCGTTGCCTCGCCAGGACTTCCAAGCACTGCGGGAAGGCCGAACGGCAGCTCCAAATACCTGGAGTGCGTCAAATGGGTATGGGTCAAAAATAGGTACCCAAAATAGAACCCTCGTAAATGGACACAGACTAACGCCTGCGGTCCCCTGGTGGTTTAATTTTGACTCATGTCCAAATCGAGAGTGAGCAGTCTGCTTTGCAGTATGCTGCCATGTTTCAGCACACGCCCCCAGCTCCACACGAGCTCTATCCGTGAACGCATGCGATCAATTAATCGGCCACTTCTACATCCCTGGCCCATTGCCAGGCTTGACTAGCCTTCTGGACTTCTTCATTTTCCTGCAAACAGTCAACTGGTTTGCCGGGTGTCGGATCCATTTGGCCCAGAACTGGATCATTTGAGTGACACGCTTGCGATGGAGCGCAGGGTACTGAGGCTTGGGCCACTCTTGAGGAATGTGAGGACTCTGGCACGCAGTCGTTGTCCTTTCGTTTTTTTGTTTTTTATATTTCTGTTTTTTGTGGGTTCCCTGCAAGGATTCCTTTGTGCCAATCGGCCTGGCTCTTCCCAGATGAGCCATGAAATCCAGAAAGGTGGTCCGCCGAAAGGCACCTGCGTGGCTGGCTTGCCGCCGAAACCGCCGAAACCAGATCCTCGTTCGGTGCCAGGTGTTTTTAACACCAGGTGTTCAAACTGTCTGGGGTGGCCACCCGCATCGCTTGTCTTTTCTGCTTCTTGTTTGGGCCTGCCCCTGGAATAGCGAAAATCAGGTAGGAAGCCAGGAAGCGTCATCCGAAACTCAAGGTTATCCACAAGCCATGGTTCGGCTTCCCGCGTTTTTTTTCTTCTCCGCAGCGCCAACGGGCAATGTTCAACAGCGCCAACCCGTTTCTCAGACCTTTGGAGGTTTGGGGTGTGCGACTCTACGTTGAAAGGAGCCATAGAGCCTTGCCACTGCAACACGCAACCATTTCTGAACTAGTTCTTGTTTCACTGTGCGAGGATCACGAGGCATGAATCCATGAAGCCAAGCAATTTGACTCTCGAATTCCAGCGTTTGAAGCTTAGCGGAAGCCTGACTTATCGGCACTTACTCGAACCAATCGTGAGGTATACCTTGTTCTTGTTGCGAATCGGGAACGTAAAGTGGTGCAACGCAAATCGGCCTCTTACTTTCTGGTTTCGTAGGCCGGCTTACTTTCTGATCGTCTTTGCTCATGTTTTTTTCAGAGGCCCATCAAACGTGGCATGGGATGGGTCGGTTTTGGACTCTGCTCATAGGGGATTCCTGCATGACCTGTACACCCTTCAGAGCCCCCACCAAGGGCATTTTTTGAGAATCCCCACGAGCTGCCATCAAGGGGGTTGTTTGGACGTTCCACAACATTGGTTTCCCACAGAGGGTGTCATCTTATTGCAGTTTCGCCCTTACACAATCTGGATAAAGCATTTTGCCCTTTGCAAGCACCCTTCCCGTAGAATCCCACAAGCGAGAGAGCACAGATGGATGCCCGTTCCGGGTTGCGGCCAGCTGCGGTCTGGTACACGAGCAAAATCCCGCAGTTGGTATGCATGAAGCCCTTCTGTGGATTCATGGACGAAAAGAAACCAATGATTCCCCTGTAGATACCGAAGACACTTAAGGGTTCAAAATGGTAGGTATCTTAGGTGGTGCAAAATGGATTTCGTCCACAGGAATGGGTCTTGTCCGTGAGGTTTCTTAGGTGGGATCCGATGGATTTCGTCAGGAAGTTTGGTCCACAGGGAGCCCGGAACCGGAGATGCCAGGCTACCACCGGGCCATGAAGGGAGCTTTGCAGCCCTCGCCCCTGATGAGCCGACGCGTCCGGGAGGCCGGGAATCCGTCGGCCGATTTCGGCGGTCGGGTGGCCGCTCGGGCAACGGGAGAAGATACGCGCCAACCAAAGGGGGGAGGGAAGGGGAGGGGGGAGAGGCTGCAGGCCTGGAACCTATATGTATATACAACTATATTTGCACGCTTTTTGCTAGTCTAGGTCCTCTAGTGCCCTTTCTAACCCCGGAGGACCTAGTAGTAGCTATTTTGTGTTTGCGTATGCCAATGAATCCCTTCAAGGTTGGTTACCCAACAATTATAGAAAGGTGTGTATGAAAGGAGTGTATATAATAGGGGTCCCCCGAAGGTTGTCTTCAAAATAATCTAGGAGAAGTCCCTAATTGCTGTTTCCAATGCATGAACCTTTGTGGGTCATTGGCAAGGGCTAGGGCGGGAATATAGCCACATACTGCAGATGGACGCATTTTGTTTCGCACCACTGTTCAGAAACCCTGGCTTCTTTTATACCGGCACCAAAAGCGACAGCAAAAGCCTGAATCAGACATAGAGCTGCGATTAGTTATCAGCGTTTCTGAGCCATGCCCCTTTTTGGAACCACCAAAGGTGGCAATGTCAATGACAGCAGCAATTGATTGCAACTTGTGAAGGGGAAATCCAGTGAGCCATGTAGTTGGAGCTTGCGGCGTCGGTTTGAGTTCGTCAAACTACAAAAGCGATCCGTGGCTTCCTGCCATTTGGACAACTGGATACACCTCAAACGGGCTTCATTTTTCGAGAAGCCTTCTCAAAACAAGTGTCCATACTGCCAGAGGGTGCTTAGCTTTTCCACTAGAGCCACTCCAGGGCCTGCTAAGGTAGCCATCTTAAGCCAAGCGCTGCGTTTGACCAGGTGACTGAAACCTGGCCGGAGGGAGCACGCGTGGCCGGCGCGCTCAGTGCAAGGGGGGCTTGCAGAAGCCGCAGCATCGGCTTTCTTTCGAGGGCTCCCTTGTGTTGGTTTCAAAGGGGAACTAAAGGGAAGGTGATCTACATTTTTGGGCTATCTTCTTTTTGGTGCAGTCAAAGGGAAAACAGAAGACCGACTTTCCTTTGGATGTGGCTTTTTTTGAGACGGGTTTATCCAGTTTTTCGATTTATGAACTTGCTTCAGGGGATCTATGGCCAGCCCAGTGCGTTGACTCAACTATTGTCATATCGTCATAGCGCTTTCTTTGGGCAATGAGCGTGCCACCTCCCACCATGAGCGTTGCTGCTTTCCACTTTTGGTCTCCTGTCAGTTGTCTACAGGTTCACCCCCCCTCCTCCCCTCCTCCAATTCATCCTGGAAAACCACAACGGTTCCCTCCAAATGGATGTTGTGTTGGCGTGTCCAAAAGGACGGGGCCCTAGAAAGAATGGACTGGAAGAATCCGTTTCAAGATGCAGCCAGAACCATCCCCACTTCAGCTGCATTCGGTCGCCCAGGTCGGGGTCCACAAACGCCTCGGCACCAACGAGGCGGGAAGAAAAGACAACTGATTTGCCTTTGATCCAGCCTGAGTTTGGCTTACTCGGCCACTTTCCCGACAAATGGCAACCAACAGGCTATATTCAGTTCGGAAACTGCCTACGAGGAAACTTCAGGGGGCCCTTCTCATTGGCAGCAATGCGTATTTCCATTTGAATGTCCATCTACATCCTAACGATACTTGCAACCGGCAGTGGCCCATTGACAGATACCTCCCTTCGTAAACATTGTACATGTTGCAGGTCTTGTGGTTTCCCCGACACCTAAGTCGCGAATCGGCTCATGAATTCCTTTTTAAGAACTGAGACCTTGAACACAATTGGCGCCCCAAGAAGCTCTGTTGCTTTCAAACCACTTCCAACCAGAGTTTGCGAGTGGCCCCTCACAGAATGGTGACCGCCAGGTCGGCAATGGGGTGGGGTACAGTAGTAAGGGCCAAAATGAGTTCCCCGTATCCTCTCTTGTAGTTCTTTCTGTTTTTGCGGGTGAGGCTGAAGGGCAGTTAGTCAGAATTCCTTTCATTGTTGGTTTGGATTGGTGGTGGTTAGGGGGTGGATTCCAACCTACCCTCCACAAGAATCAGGGGGGTTGAATATCCGAATCCAAACTACCAATCCAATCCAAACCGCACATGAAGGGTAATGTGAGTTCGGGTGAGAAGGCCATGATTTGGGGTCCCTTTGCTTGTTGCACTTGTGCAAGCAAACCAACCCACGGATCGTGGCCCAAGGGCGAACAAACAGCTACAGAGGTCAGAGGTCAGCGTTCAGCGCCTCTTTGTTGATATCTGACGAGAATCATGGTGCGTTCCCGGGTGTATGAAATCCGGCGACTCCAATCCTCCAGACTGTTTTGGGAGTGTTCCCTCGTGGGGGGCTACCCTCCCCAGGCGATTCCATGGAAGCTCGCAGAACCACTTTGGAAGAGTTTGTGCCATTTACAGTGCTTCTGGCAGCTTCGATGTTTCTTTGTGCGGAGCTAACAAGTTTTTGTAGTAGTTTTCTGTGTGCACTCCATCTGCTCGGGTGCCTCGGGTGAGGTTGCAGCGTGCCAGCTGGCACAACGCAACCCCCCGCCCTTGGAGTACCTAGCAGCTGCCAAAGCCTCAAGACAGTCTTTTGAAGGCGGTGTACCCTCCATGGATCAGGAAGCTCTTGGTTGGCGGTTTGGATTCGGATTTGAGCCCTTTTGACGACAACAGGGGAAAATACATTCGCTGTTTTCTGCCAGCATCCAAACCACCAACCAAACCAGCAATTAGAGAGAAGCGGAGTGGAAGTGCATAGCGCCCCTTAGGACTACTTGCCTTTTGGAAGTGGCAAGCGTGCACTTCCATGTTGTCGGTATTGGTGGCAGATGATCCGGGACCAACCGCTCAGTGGTTTCAACTGATGATCCGGGACAAACCGCTCAGTGGTTACAACTTGTGGACCATTCTTGCTGGATAGGGACACCTCTATGAATCAACCGGCCATGACTCCAGTGTCAACCTTGATAACCTTGGGACTTAGCTAAACGGTTGGTATGGTTACGACACGCCAAAGCCATGGTTGTGGTCCCCGTGCAGTAGGTTAGAACCAGGCTTAGCACCACACTCCTGGACCATCTAAGTGGTTCTTATAAAGAAATGTTGGTTTGATGGGAACCTAGAATTGATTTCACTCTGTGCGGGGAAGAATAATCAAATAATCCCAGTCCATCAATAGATTCTTGCAGACGGTTCGAAACCCCTTCAGACTTGCTGCGCAGAGCTGGGACAGCCTTTTGGTTTTGCAGTGTCACATTTTGCGTGGCAACTCTCGGTTTTTGCCCTTTCCAGTGCGGCAATATTGGAGTTTCCCGACGGAGCAATCCCTACAAGATGCATGGAACGGGGCTCTATGCCCCACTGACAGCGAGTTTTGCCTCATGGAAGTTCATTGAGCCAGCGGACGGGCGTGCAATGGCTTGCAGTCACCCAAAGTTGCTCATGTTTCTGCCTAATGTGACCCGCGGCTTAAACGAGTCCGCAGACAATAAATTTAGGCACTTTAAGAAGAATAACATCAACTCAAATGGTCATTTGGACCATACTCTACAGTGTGATCATGTGCCCCGGAATCGCAGTGCCATAGGTTTCCATTCCTAGCCTGAACTGTTTGCATCCTTACATTTGGCTCAAGGCAAAAGTCCGTGGGCGGGGGCGGGTCGAATCCCTTAAGTGTTCCTCGTTTGCGGTTGCCATAGCATACACTGGAATCTGTCACTTGACAGTTGCTTGCACGGATTGCACAACTGGGTTCAGGCGGCGGATTCTTTTGGTTATCAGCCGTATCGCAACGGCTTATTCCTTGCAGCTTGGGTCGACAACTTGATATTGGGTGAACAGCAGCAGGCGCACCTGGTTTCATTGGGTTCAGTTGACGAGCTTCAGGAAAAGTACGACCACTTGCAGCTTGGAGCGACTACTTGATCTTGAGTGAGCAGCACTTGGGGGCATTGGGTATAGTCGACGAGCTCTTGGGGATCCCCGATTTATATGCAATCGGAGGAGCAGCGCGACAAGCGTTTCCGGGAAAACGGGTTGCCTAGGACGAGAGGCAAGAGGGCCGGGAACCCGAATCGTCCATCGCAGCAAACGCAGAGCAGGCCGCGGACGTCTGCAGCGTCACATCGTGGGCCATCGATCGACATCGCTCCTCGGGACTCAGACATAGCTATCAGGACAGCGCCTTGGCGACAAACGGAGTCCAGACGCGCACCTCCAGAGACAGCTGTTTGGGAAGAGGAGGAAGTGGTAGAGATCGAGGTATCTGATCAGGAGGAGGTAGAGATCGAAGAATCTGATCAGGGGGTGAAGGCGGAAGACCAGGCGGGATCTTCTACGAGCCGGGCACCACATCCGATACCAGAAGGCATTCGTGGAGTCATCGAAAAGACAGCGCTGTTTGTCCTGCGTGTTTCTGAGGGGCAGCGACCCAATTATATTCGGCAGATTCGAAAGGAACAGGATCCACAGAAGTTTGGTTTTCTGTTGCCGGAGAACGAATATCACTGGTACTTTTTGGAGTGCTTGAATATCGGGTCGGCCAAAGAACTCACAGCTGAGGCAGAGGCGAGTCATTCGACCAGGAAGCCTGTACCGGAGCCGGCATCAGCTTCATCGACACCAGCACCGAAGCGCTCGACGGGCGGTTTTGTGCCCGAGCCACCGGTTGAGATCAGAGGCTTCATTGAGAGCATTGCCCAGAGTGCTGCAGAACACGGTGACGATTGGCAGTGGGAGGTATATAGAAAACAAGATCGCACAGCGTACAGCTTTCTACATCCAGGACACAAGTACCACAGATTTTTTCTGCAGCAGAAGGAGCGTGCGTTGGCAAACACTGGCCAGGCGACGTATTTACCGACCGAGGCGCCGGAGACGACAGACGCAGAGGCGGAGCGGCCCCTAGTTGGCATCGATTGGCATCAGACTTTGGAGCGAGACAACGAGGTCTCCCCTGAGATCGCAAACGCCGTCAAAGCCTTGCAGCGGGTCGCAGACGTGCACATATTCTCCTTTGTCGGTTCAGACACTCGATTGAGAGATACCAGGGACAAGATTGCGGCATCACCAGTTGCTGATCTTGAGGTTCATTTCTCAAGGCGAAAATCCTGGCAATTTTCTGCTATCACACGTAAGGGGGTGGACACGAGAACCAAGGCTCAGCAGTTTTTGGATTCTGGCGGCCTGTGCCTGATTGACGATCAGGAGACCATCCTTTCTGAATTGAAAGGGAGGTGGGAGCAGGCCGGACTTCCAGCAGAAGCTGCGCCGTGGGGTGTTCTTGTAACCACTTCAAAGGACGTGGAGCTGCAGATTAAGGTCCTGACACGGAAGCTTTCGCATCAGCAGTGTAGCAACACGCATCCGAAGCCATCGCAGAGGAAGGAGCTGTGGTCACAGGCAAGCCAGTAGATCCGTGGGAAGGTGAAAAGATGTCCGATCGGTCTCGAGATAGCCGGAGGGACATTCGTGCAGGGATGTCAGCAACTCCCATAGGTGCATCACCAAGTCAGCCTTCTAGTTCAGATTCTAGTGGCCTCATGCAGGATGATCCCAATCATGTCGCGTTGCAATTGACTCCGAGCCAAGGAAATGATCCAAATCGTGATTCGTTGCAGTTGACCCCATCGCCTACTGGGCAGATGCAAACCCCAGAGTTGATGCCGCCTCCACGGTCGCCTGCTATGCTTGGTGTTTCTCAGACTAATGTTTTGAACGCCCCGCAACAGCATAATACCGTGGAAGCCACCTTCAACGACGGTAGGACGTATCAGCAAAATGTGCTTAACCAGACAGCAGTGTTGACATATGACCCCGATCAGATCGAGGCACTTGTTAATGCTAGGGTGGAAGCAGCCTTGATAGCACAACGTGAATCTTTGAGGCAGGAAGCATTCAGTGTGATTCACAGTGCTCAGCAAGACAGGGATGCCTCCATTCATCAAGCACAGAACCATGCTGCCCATGAAATAGGTGTGAGGGATCAGATGCTGAATAGTGCGGATCATGCCCTTCGCGATCGGGAGCAAAGCCTAAACGTTGCGAGGCAAGAGATTGAGCAAAGAGATCATGCGATCAGGGAGTTGTCAGAAAAGCTTGCACAAGCAGAGGTTCTCATCCAAAGTCTCAATGAGTCGGTGCAAAGGAGTCGTGTTCCAGAACAAGGTTCCAGGGGCACCCCTGCTGTGAGCCCTAAGTATGACCTCCTTGCCGGAAGCCATAATGACGCGGACTCAAATGCACATGCTGGTCAGTCATCCACCTCAGGACGTGGTGCTCACGCTGCCGGAAGGCGCGACGCAGCCGCAAGGCGCGACCCCGCTGCCGTACGGCGCGGGGAGGCCACGGACGGGGGTTCGGCAAAGGTAACAAAATCTTCGGGCGTGGACCCGGTTGATGGAGGGTTTGCCGATGATGACGGGGACGAAAGTGTGCATGAATCTAGTTCCGGACCCGAATCCAGCTCAAGTAGTGACAGTGATGTGCGAGGGAGCAAGAGTAGGAAGCCACCCAGTAGTTCCGCTTCTGTATCCATTCAGGGAACAGTGCATGGGGCCTGGGACGTATATTCCGGTAATGAAGATGGGGTTTACAAGGAAAAGAACTTGAAGCTTGTTAAAGTTTCAAAGTTGCCTGTTGACTCCACCACATGCCGAGAATGGCGTAGTGCTTTTATTGCCTCCGTGTCTCGCATCGACACTACCGATGGTGATGTGCTCGCCAAGTATGTGTCGCACTGTTTTGAAGGGGGTCGGGGGAAAAGGTTCCGTGAAGCATTGCATAATTCGGTTGTGTTCACTCGGTTCAATAAGCATGTTGCAGCAGAGCTCATCCAAACTGATGTTCTGGCAACAAACACCGAGTTGGCTGCTGAGTTCAGTTCCTATGTCGAATCATGTGCACTTCGTGGGCAAGGGCCGAAAGGCGCACCTCTGTTGAATTTGTTGTATCAGCATTTCTCGGTAGGCGCCAGCGGAGTTGCACTTGGACAGATGCATTTGCTGGAATTGAAGCTTGAAGGAAACTCTTGGAGTAATGTTCAGGCGTTCATCAGCAAGGCACGGTATATTAGGAACGGACTAAAGGTAGACGATCGTCCGAGCGATGCTACAATGTTCCATTGGTTATGGCATGAAGTCAAAAGAGTTCCATGTTTGTCAAGGATCACAAACAAAGTTCGGGATTCCTCGAGTAGCTCACACAGACGCTCATTTCAATGGCTCTGGGATGCCATCCATGATGAGCTGAAGGAGCGTCGTGAGGATTCGAACTACGAGAACTTGACGAAAGGGTTGAAGACGGGCCCACAGGCTCCGCCTTACGGTTTAGCTGCAGGCCAAGCCGATAACCCTCGTGCTAGTTCCGCCCAGACAAACAAGGGTAACTCTGAGAGCAAGCCAAGCAGTGAGCATTCCACGGACAAAGCAGATCGGAACAAGAAAACAAAGAAGGACAAGAAGGGAGAGAAAGAGAGTCAGGGGAAACAGGCCGGACCATCAGCACTTCCAGCGCAGAGCAGTGAGGGCAGCAAGGGAGAAAAATGGGTCTGCTCTTATCATGCTGCTGGT